TGAGGGCCCGACATCCTCTATTGGGCCCTGTGCTCACTGCCCAGCACCGTGGAGCTCGATTTGGCATTTGCCGTAGAATACCAGAATTGGCAGGTCCACCACTGGCACCCTGTGTCTTTCACAGATGAAAGCAGGTTCACCCTGAGCACATGTGACAGATGTGAAAGGGTCTGGAGATGCCATGGAGAACGTTATGCTGCCTGTAACACTGTTCAGCTTGACCGGTTTGGTGGTGGGTCAGTGATGGTCTAGGGAGGCATATCCATGGAGGGACACACAGACCTCTACAGGCTAGACAACGACACCTTGACTGCCATTAGGTGTCAGGATGAAATCCTTGGACCCATTGTCAGACCCTACGCTGGTGCAGTGGGTCCTGGATTCCTCCTGGTGCACGACGATACCCGGCCTCATGTGGCGAGAGTATGCAGGCAGTTCCTGAAGGATGAAGGAATTGATACCATTGACTGACCCCCACGCTCGCCTGACCTAAATCCAATAGAACACCTCTGGGACATTATGTTTCAGTTCATCTGATGCTGCCAGGTTGCACCTCAGACTGTCCAGGAGCTCATTGATGCCCTGGTCCAGATCTGGGAGGAGATCCTCCAGGACACCATCCGTCGTCTCATTAGGAGCAGCCCCGACGTTATCAGGCATGCATACAAGCACGTGGGGGCCATACAAACTACTGAGTACGATTTTGAGTTGCAATGAAATTTCGGCAAAATGGACAAGTCTGCTGCATCATTATCACTTTGATTTTTGGGGTTTGAATTCAGCCCTCTGTAGGTTGATAATTTTAATTTCCATCAAACGATGTGGCATCCTTTCATTCCTAACACATTACACAGTCCATATCAGTATAGATGTGTATTACAAATTAATAATTCTAAAAAATGTTACGGAGTGTTGAATTTGATAGTTTGGGAGTGTATTTTAATTCTTAGACCTCCTGGATTACAGGATTCTGGGTCCTAAAGAGAAATGAAAATACACTATAATGTCTGAAATATATCGCAGTGTGACTATGCCCTGAATCTACACAGCCACTGTGACCTGTCTCAGCACAGAAGTACCCATGCATGGGTACTTCAATGACCAACCTTCTTCTAGTACCCATAAAATGGCTAGTTCTACACTACACATGGTTCTCAAGAAGACCATTAGAATAACAGAGTGACCCTGTTTGCAACTATAGAGCAGTTTAGTGTTCTAGATAGGTACCAGCTTACATCTGACTGAGACACAGTAACAAAGTACAAGTAAACAAGCATAAAGTCAATAGGGTAATCCTAATCATATGCTGTTAGATTTATTTAAAGACAATAGAGCCTGCAGAAAATTTTGATTGGGGTGACCATCAGGGTCCGGTTATATTTAGCGGGGTGGGGGGGGGCACCGCATCCTGTCTGTTACATGGTATCGCTTAGAATATAAAGTAATGCATATATTGTTTTTATTATTTTTATGTGGTGGTTACACCAGTGGCCACGTATTTAATAGGGTTGGCCCTGCCCCCTCCTTCACACATCCCCCCCCCACCCCCAGATCTGTCCCTGACTAAGGGCTGTTTGCAGCAAGGAAAGGAAATTGCTTAAAAATTACATGAATAAAATATATGCAGCGTTGATGGAGTCACTCTGTCTGTAGTCAGCCGAAGTCCCCGAGAGACCCTGGTGATTATTAATTACTGGACACACTGGACTCAATGGGGAGCCCGGTTATTGGTCCCAGTGGGGAGTCCGGTTATTGGTCCCAGTGGGGAGCCCAGTTATTGGTCCCAGTGGGGAGTGCTGTTGCCTCACACCCTGCCAATTTGGGTTTCACATCCCTTCTCCGCTCAGTGTGTGTGGACTTTGCTGATTCTCCCTGTGTTGTGAAGATTTCCTTTGGTTCCTTTCCATGGTCCAAAGACATTAAGGCTAATTGGTGTCTTTAAATTGCCCATAGAGTGCAATGGGCTGGCTTCCCGTCCAGCGTGTTCGCAGCCTTGTGCCCTGTGCTGCCTGCGATAGGCTCCAGACCCTCCTGTCATCCTGACCTTGATGAGCTGGTAGACAGCGGATGGCCAATACTGGATGCATACCAGATCAGCAAACAATTTAGGGACAAAGGGTTTTAGCTGGTATCTTATAAGGCTGAAGTCTGATCAGAGTGGATTACATTCTTTAGCTTAATTCTAAAAAATATTACAGAGTATTGAATTTGATGGTTTGGGAGTGTATGTTAATTCTTAGGCCAGATTCTATAACATTTTAATAATGCAACTATTTTTAAATAGTTTTTTTCAGTCTCAGCTATGTTGTATGTCTGCTATTCAGAAACACTGTCCTCTGAAGAGGCAGAAACTATTACAAATCCTTGCAGGATTATGATGCATTAAAAGCACAAACTGGAGCTTCTTGTATGAAAACTCATTATTAGATTCCAGTCTTGATGTATATAATTGGCTGCAATATGAAATGCTCTGCTGAAGCAGGCAGTGAGGCACAGCATGTGTGTAACCCCAAGATGTTTCTGAGACCCCAACTGATTCATAAAATCCGAAGGAGAACTGTTCTTTGGAGGTTTTGTACACCTGCAAAGGATTAATACTACACCACTCCGTGTACTAGCCAACACCACTCCAGGTTCCCAGAATGTTCTTAATGTTGAATAACTATTTGCTATGTTTGGGAGATATGGTTTAGCTATTGCTACAACAGTGTTTCCCAACCCAGTCCTCAGGGACCCCCAGACAATCCATGTTCTGGGAGCTGAGAGGATGCAAAATGTGAACCGTCTGCTAGGGAGCTGTGCGGAAGCAAAAACATGGACTGTCTGGAGTCCCTGAGGACTGGGTTTGGAAACACTGCACTACAATACTCCACTGTCAGTCACTGGAAACTCAGCCCAGCTGCACTTATGCCTAGTTGACTCCTTGAAACTGATATTTTTATAATGTGCTGTTTACCTCACTTGTATGTCACTTTGGACAAAAGTGTCTACTAAATAAAGTAAATGTAAATGATATATTTAAAAGCAAAAAAATGATGTGTGCTGTCACAATGGTTTCTTCAGCAATAAACTGAATAAAGTTCATCTAACCCCTTGAGAAATATGAGTCTGCATTCCTAGGGGAGTAAAGATCAAGTATAATTCAAACATATCAGTTATTGTATAAAATAAAAATGATCCTCCTTCGCTTGCACTGAAACCAGCATAGCAAGAACCTGGATGAAATGCACAGCTGAAATATTAAGTTGTGGTCTCCACGAGGGGGACCTAGTGTAGCTTAATATTCTGAAGATGTGATATCCACAAGAGAAGTTAACTTAAAAGTCTGAAGAAGTGATCTCTAAATAAATGTGAAAACCAAGTGAACCTGGCTTTGCTGTGGAGATACTGGAAAGGTCATCCATATCAGGGCTTGTTCCTTAGAGAAGTTCCCATATGTTTCACAAGGAGAACTTGGCTTCAGTCTGATGTGAGACACAGAGGTGCTTAGTCCACATACAGTTTGTAAAACATACAGCATTTCTGTATAGTGTCCAAAACATACAGCATTTCTGTATAGTGTCCAAAACATACAGCATTTCTGTATAGTGTCCAAAACATACAGCATTTCTGAGGTCTGATGAAAATTATTCATGAGTAGCAACACAATGTTGTCAAGGAGAGACAGGATGCTGCTGCAATCCTGCATGTTACATGGATGGATGATAGCTATTGTGCCTCATGACCTTGTGGTTAGGACATGGTTGTTGTGGAAAAATGGTGGCAGAGATCCTACAGTAGAGATAAAAATGCAAGTAATTATGGTTCTGAATAAATTTGGAGATAACCATGTGTAATAAATCAAAATGATGGATAAAAATCAAGTCAAAGTGATCAATCAAAGGCAATCCTCATTTTGAAAGTCCATGTTACTCCTGCATGCTGAGTGCATTTTCTTGCATTTAAACAGGCAGGACTATATCCAGCATGCTAGTGTTGCTAGGAAACTCATTTTATTTATAATGTGAAGAAATGAAAATCCAACCAGCGGGACATGCTAAATCAAAAAGATGAAAGTGTGTATCCATTACTGTTAAGCATATTTGATATGACCTTTTAAAAACTGAGTGTACTTCAAAATATTTCTTGTATGCAATTTCCAAAAAATCTTCCGTGTTGTAAAAACGAGTTCCTTGCTTTTATAGAACTGATAGGAATACAGGCTATTTTTTTTAATGTCGATTTTGTTAATCTCCATTTGAAATGATACTATTATTGTTTATTTACTATCATTCACTTTTTGGAATGCTGAAGGAAAATGTTTAGTGTATTCTTCAGATTTAACGAAACAAAATGCATGCAATGTTTAAAATTTTGCTTGTTTAACAAGAGTAATACGTACACCATGTTAATACTTGTAACTTGAAATTTATGGATGTCATAACATAGCCTACAAGTTGCTTCAAACTATGAACTATGAAACTCTCGAAGCAATAACTTGACAGCTGTATACGTATATTAAAAATATATCCAAATATATACGTTGGATATATTTTTAGACTAAGTGCGTATGTTCATTGGGGGAATAACTGAAAACAGAGACGCTTGACAAGACGAAATCAGTTTCCATAGATCTGTGGATACCATTACAATGTTTCCCTATATATGTGTATGGCCGTTTTTTAAAAGACAAGTTTGTCCAAGTTTAAGGAAAAACGTACAGTACCTAACAGTACCATTTGATTTGAGGAAGTGAAATCCAGAGATCCGTAATATAAACCAAACCTTTGAGGGATATATGTGAGTCTCAAGCTGAGACTCCAGGGATCCTTTTATCAATTTAAAATGAAACATTGTTCTGCTGCTGAATCGCTACCCATTGCGCCACTAGATGCCACAATAGGCGCCCTTTCGTTTAAAGGTTACAATGAATGAGGAAAATGAGGCATTATCCCCGCCCACAAATCTATGATGTAACACTGTTCCAATGAAAACAGGTGGAATTCCCAGGTTCAGCCAATCAGCCGCAGCTCTTGAATTGTCCAAGTCTGAGAATGACTCCCCCAGACATGGCGCTGCGGTGAAGTAGGAACGGGCAAGCAAAGGGAAGATATTCAGTCCCGTTTTTGTTTTTAAGTTATTTTTACTTTTTAATTGTCGTGGAGTGAGGTTTTATTTGGCAGCGATGCGGGGACGTGACACGATTGTGTGTTTTCCCCTTGGGAAACAACACCAAGGCTGATTTTTGTTTTAATTCTCATCGAACTACAGCGATGTATTTGCATGAGTACTTACTATTAAGTTACACTAGCTGACTTGCTCCATGGTAGTTCCGTGCACTTACTTGGTGGCATCGTATTGCAGTGTGCCACTGAAGTTAAGGTGCCGCTCGGTTTCGTGCCGCTAAGTCTAGTCGCGATTCTCTAAATAACATTTTAACGCCTGATCGAGCAAGCGACCATGCCGGGGAAAACTAAGTACAATTTAGTAGATGACGGACACGATTTGAGGATTCCTCTGCACAACGAGGAAGCCTTCCAGCATGGCATAAATTTCGAAGCCAAGGTGAGTAAGTAAGAAGCGGTAGGTGAGCAAAGTCCGTAACGCGCATTAACGCTACCAAACGTTAGAGTTTATTATAATGTTATTCTCTGGTTTGTCGTTGCTTCTCGTTAATTTGCAGACTAGGTAATAAACAGCCAGTTAAGCATCATGCATGCATGCGTGTTATTTTAACTACGGCGATCCCCTTTGATTTTGTATCGAAGCAATAACTTGACACAAAATAACATCTTTCAGTCACTGTTGTTGTTGGTGGCGCTCGGAAGACGCAGCCGCCCAATGCACTGTAGGAGAATATGGTATTAATTGTGGTATTTTCCCCCCATATTTGTAGTACATTGGTAGTCTGGATGTGGCGCGACCGAATAGCAGAGTGGAGATAGTAGCGGCTATGCGGAGGATACGGGTGAGTCTCCCTGCCCTGTTCGGATCTACGCCGCCAAGTTGCCCGGAATGTGCAGGTCACGTTGCTCATATCATAAGGTGCTTGTAGTGTTTAGTAAAATGTTACTCGATCTCAGTGATTCTGTCTTGCCCTTCGCAAAATTTCAGCAGCGCTTGGAAAGCAGGACAGTTAATTACCTTTCTAACCATTTGAAAGTAAAGTCCTGCAAACAACATTTCTGAGTGAGTGCAGTTTGCGCAGAAAGCGGCTCGCAATGCAGAATCAGTGTTTCAGTATATATACTGCAACAGGCCTTTAATGATCCACACCTCATGTGTTGGACACTGATTGGTTACTCCGAATGTATCTCAGTTAAAGTTTCCAGCGGAACTTGTTTAGTAATGGGGATACAGAACTAATTTAAACTGTATAGTGGGAGAATTCACGCCTGAAATGTGCACCTTCTTTCCAAATAAAACTGAGGAAAACGTTGATGAAATAGTCAAACACTTCAGCACGGCTTTCGGGAAGACACTTCAGGTTCTCCTAGTTGTCACTAAGGCAGGATCCTGCGGAATAGCACAACGTGGTTTTGTTTTGAACCGTGCAAGTCCTTTTTGGCCTTGCTAAAATGGTCTATTTTACGATTAATTTATAATATTTCTGGGCAGATCCTGTGAGCATTTCGTTCTCACCGATAAAACGTAGGCCTACATGTTGGTTTTTTTTATCGTATAATGGGCTCTTTAATTATTGCAGACATTATTTATGAATATGCAAATTGAAGGCGAGGAGTCTCTTCTACTGATGCCAAACTGCATTTCTTTCTTTCAAATTTACCTGAAATGGCTCAGGTTCATTTTTCTGTGAATTTAACATCAGTAGTAGTGTGGATAATGCCCATATTTTTAGGCATCTGAGAAGGTTGCACCAAGGGCATCAGTAACAAATTCCTGTTGAGTGATAGTTTTGTTCAAGGCAAAGTACTGACATTTTTCATTACTGTCAGCTGCTGTAAACTTGTGATGTTTTCATAACTTGCAGAGTTCCTTTTTTGGATACGGTGACGCAGCTTTCTGACTTTTGAAAGGTCTGCGGGTGGGTGGGTGAGTGTGTGTACCAATGGAATAGATGTAGTAGGAATTTTGCTCCAATTGTGGTGCTTGGAAAGTTTGAGAGTTTTAGTAGTAAGAAACATTGTTCACTTTCATAGTTACCATAGTTGCAGATAAATTATTATTGTCATTATTAATAATAATGATAATAATAACAATAACAATAATAATAATAATAATAATAATAATAATAATAATTTGACTGGATATGTTATGGGAAGCTGTTTTGGTTAATTGTCTTCCTGAGTAGTATTTTAATAGTGTAATGTCCTGGATGTCTTTCTGTTTTTACATATACAAATGTTATTTATTGAGATGGGAAATATGTATTTTCATAATTACTGTCAAGTAATTTTTTTGCACCCAACAACAAATTCAGGTAATTCAATGGGGTTTATTAGCTAACAGTAATTTTTCTTAAAATGTCTCCTTTAACAGCTTATAGGTATAACCATTTCTGCCCTGGAAAAGTCCTCTGCAGAATCATACAATATAAATGATATACCATATGCATTGATGTGTTCCTAATTGATTAAGCATTACTCTATTACAGATTAATGAGCAAGGCTGCTCATTAAAATGCATATCAGGCTGATTATATGTGACCCTGCGATCTCATCGGGAAGTTTCTGCTGCATCTGTTTTCTGTAAAACAAGAGAAAAAAAGAGTAAGAACGTACTCAGCGCCTGCTTCCCTGCTTGTCCTTCCCGTCATTCTTCATGACTGTAACGTGGATTATTACCAAGATATATGATCAGCATGGGTCTTGTTTTGTACCATTTGCATCCTGTTCCCCTTTGATAATGAGGTAAATTCCGATCACGGTGCGCAGGACGTGGAACAGGGCATCCTGCGGGCCTCTGCCATTCTTAGTCTGAGGTCACGTGTGTGTGGTCACAGTAAGAGGAACCAGATCCAGGTTGAGTTATATTGCGCCGCTGATTTCATCAATAGCTACTGCATACATCACCCTTCCATTACCCATCCATGCAGTTGGGGAAGTAGCTTTTTATCGAGCAAATTTGGGATGAATAGTAATTAATGATGCCAACGGACCATTTGTAGAACAAGCAAGTATTACTTGCAGATCCTGGTCCAAAATATCAACAGATGGGAGTTTGTTAAACTTGTGATTTAAGTGTTACAAAGGGGCCATTTACCTGAATTTTTTCTAAATAGACATATAGTAGAGAGAAGGGTTAGGATTTATTTTCTTAATGGATGCTCCTTAGTACTCGAACTTGTAACTCTTGTGTTAGTGTAATGCTGTACTTGTTGAGATACTGAAGCTCAGCAATGAGGGTAAGTGGGCACCTTTCGGCTCTCTGCTGTTTGCTTTTCATTCCTCCCAGTGTCATTCATAGTAGCAATGTCTGTTTTTAAGAGCCAGTGAGTCAGGCTTTCCCTCTTTGGTAGTGACTAATATTGATGTAAAAATCTGTAAATCGGGTATCACAATGAAGAGTCAGGGGGCCCTTCGTTGCCGAGCTACAGTTTGGGCAACGATCGATGAGGCCAATAACAGGATTTCCGAGTAAACTTTCAAAAGATGATGTGAAAACATCAAGCACCTTTCTTAATGTTTCAAAAGTTAGCTCTCTCTTTTTTTCAGGCTATTTTTAATTACTATTTTATTGCATGTCCAGCCAGTGCTCTGTTATTTTTTACCTAAGATTTGTTCCGTGGAACAAATATACAAAACACAAAATATGTTCAACAGATATTTAGTGTTCTCTAGGTGAAGGTCTGGTAATTGTTCTGGTTGATGAAATGCATAGCTATTCCTGTCCGTCTGAGTGTGTATGTTCAGCTCTCTCATTTTCACCTTCCAGAGCTCACTCTGTAAACACTGTTTCCGTACAGACCCGTGGGATCGAAGATTCGGCGGAGGTGAAAATGTGCTTTAAACGTTCAGGCGTGATACTGATATTTGACTTGTCGAGGCCTTTTTAAACTCCGTGTAAATCAAGCCCAGTGACCTTTGCTAGCTCCCTCGTCCGTGCTTGACTTGTGGAGAAACTCTGTCCGGCTGATGTTTAACTCGCTGTCATTTCTCAAATGCGTTGATGCCGTCTGGTGATCGTCTTTGCGTTTTATGTTTTGCAGACCGGGAAACGATGGCAGGCGTTAAAACCTTCTCCATAAAAAGTCTTCCGCTAGTTCCACAGGCCAGTCTGTGTACGAGGCTGTTTCATCGTTAGTTTCTGAGTGGCCGCTTTCTGCAAAAACAAGACCCTTCGCGCCATACAATAGACTCCCTGTATCCTGGCAGGCTCAAGTCTCGTCTTTCTGTGGAACGTGTTGGGTTTCTTTGTCTCTTGTGCGCTCTAAGATGGCAGAGCCATTCACGGACAAGGCTAGCTGATGTCCGTTGGAAGCTGGCCTACATGCTAGATTACCCACCTTTTTGTCTGCAAAGAGCTTCTTTTGAGTGTAAGTAAGAATATGTCTGCCTTTCCAGCCGTGACCTCTCTGCTCTGGCTGAGCCTTTGGCAGAGTAGCAAGGACATGTCCTGCTTTCCTTATGCCGTTCGTCATAGTAACCGTGATCTGTAAATCGACTCGTTAAGCAACAGCTTGGAGCTTCCTTTCCTTCCTTTCATGACCCTTTGTGAAGACGCCATTAAAGACGATAGCTACGTCCCCACCGTTGGTGATGCATCGTAGCTAGTTTCCCGCCAATTTTCACCTCTGAAATATCAGTGCTGCTGTGTGATGAATGAAGACACTGTCCCAGTTCCACCGCAGATTAAGTCGCATTAAACACAGTATTAAGTCTCTGATTTTTTTTTTTTTTTTTCCTCTGGTAACATTAAATTACTCTGAGAATATCACAGATGCACGCCTGAGGTCCTTACATTTAATTTTTGCTTTTAATTTTTATGCTGTGGGATAAATTATTTTTTTTCATTGCTGCATTTCTTTATGACTTAAGATATCATTTGTCTGCCGGTGCAGGTTTTACTTTTCAGCTAAAATAGCATGTTCAGCTGGCCTGTTCTGGGAATTAAAGTGTGAATGAAGGGAGATAGCCAATAGTAACTAAAAAAATAATTTAGATGTGTGAATGTAAAAAGAGAATTAAATGGCTATTTAAATGTTCTAAAGCAGAATTTTTAGAAAGAAAAATAATCCTAAATCCTAAAATGCTGTTGCCAAGCATTTAGGGCCTAGGTGTTCTGGAACATTTGTACTCCTCTGCATACTTAGAACATCCTTCCTGAACCATGAAAGCCTGTTTTTTCCCCAGCCATGCTTTATTGATACTAATTCCTATTCTAATTTATTTTGATCTCAAACGTTTGTTTGCAGGACATGTCTGGTCAGTGCCTGTTACTTTAAATGCCTTGGTACTATTATAAAAGCAAAATCTGAGAATTTGTTGACCACAATCTAACTGGTATATACTGCTTCCAGGATGCAGTTATTTAATAAGGCTAGCATGTTTCTGTTTGGTGGGCAAATAAGATTTATTTGTCATATTTAAGTTTAGGTGCTAGTTCATTGATGTCTTCAGCAGAATAACTGAATGCTAGTTCTACATTAATATGCTTGGTAACAGAATTGCTCAGGAAAACAGTCCTCTCTGTGTAAACGCAGTACAGGCTGATCAGCTGTCTCTCTCATGTCACTCCAGTGAGTGGTAATGAAGTTTTCTTAAGACGTTGGCTCTGCCTTGACGTCATGAAGATGTCTCCTTTCATCTCGGTTCAGTCTTATTACGCTGAACTATGCTTATGGCAAAGAATTGCCCCAAGGCATGAGGATATAATTCAGTAACATGTGGATTTAAATGTGTACAAATATACCTTTATTGCGCATGGGGATTTGGCTGCTGTTGAATTGTCACAGGCTGTGTTGATTGGCTCTTCATCGCCAAGTTCTTGTAAAAGGATCCCTTTTAC